TCTATTATACAGAGTTAACTCCAAAATTTTACACTTCTGTCTCAAGGAAAAACTACTACAAGTATGTCAGTGACTAGATGAGCATTAGTAACATACTGGATTTTCTTTTAGTTGACAGCCACATTTCGTTTACACAATTAAGCCCATTTTTAACAGTGACAAAATGTCTCTTGAGTGGATCGTAAGCTTTGCTGATTGTGTATTAAAGACTCTGTAAGCAAGAACCAAATGCTACTATGTGAACTCATGCAAATGACAAGTTGTAAAAACTCCCAAAACAGAAAATCTATAGCATACTACAGATGGCACAACGCAGACCAGAGGGAAAAGCCAGTGATGCTACACCATTCAGCTCTAAGAAGCACGCTATTTGTAGTGCAGTCCACATAAGGTCACTGCGAAATGTCAAATCAGCATCTCAAGAGTTACATTTGAAACTAATGGAGTCCACAGATCTGAAAGGATATGTAATATGACAAAAGTCCAACTATGCTTCTGTCCCTAAGTGAGCAACTGAATACAAGCACCTAGAAGTTGAAAGCTTACACTGATTTTTTAAATTTACCAATTGACCCAACAATGAAGCCAGGGTTTAGAGTGACAGCCATCTGATGACAACTGTGCCTGGATGTGTGCCAGTGACAGCACACTCTGGGTCAGCTGGAGGTGCTGCCCTCTGTGCACCTGACATCACTCCCACATCTGACACTCATCTTCATGCTGGGACAGGGTCGTAAGGACCACATACACTGCCAACATACCACAACGCAACCCTAGACTGCACTGTGGCTTAGGGGAAGTTTTGTCTTCTAACATCTTACCTTTGAGTATGTGGTCAAAAACTACAATAGCCAGGACCTACAAGTCTCATAAAACAACCATGACTTTCAAATTACAAGTTTAGAAAAGTGTGCTTTTTTTTGGTTTGTTTTGTTTTTAAGGGTAAAATGTGGGCCAACACAGTGATGTGCGCTTGGCATCCCAGCTACACTAGAGGCTGAACCACGAGGATCACAGGATCAGGGCCAGCCTGGGCAACCTAGCAAAATCCTGCCTCAAAACCAGAGGCTGGGGTTGCAGCTCAGTGGTAGTATGCTTGCTATCATGTGCAAAGCCTTGGGTTCGATCTCTAGCACCACATTTTATAATAAATAAATATATATATAAATATATATATGCCTGAGTTCAGGTACATGGCCAAGAAGGCTGATGATGTAGAAGTTGATGGGCCTGGGGGCTGGGGATTTAGCTCAGTGGCATAAGTGCCTGCCTTGCGAGCAGGCAGTCGTGAGTTTGATCCCTGGTACCAATAAAAAGGAAAAAGACAAAAAAAAAAAAAAAAAAAAAAAAAAAAAAAGAAGTTGATGGGCCTGAGGCTAGCCTAGGCAAGGGTAGGGGGCCACAGCTCAGTGGCAGACCACTTGCCTACCATGTACACGCCTGGGGGCAGACTCTAATATTAAGGAGGGTGAGGGCTTCAGTGGCAAAGCCCCCTGAGCTTAATCTTCAACAGTGACCAAGAAAGTTACTACTCTATACTTTCACTTCAATGCAGGTAATCAAGTGGACAGGCAATTCTTTCTTAATTTTCTTAGGTGCTTTATTCTTGACCAGAAATTTCACTGAAGGATATTTGGACGGCTGACATAAAAAAACAAAAATAAAACTTTATACCGATTTGTGTGTATGTGTGTGTTTTTGAGAAAGAGTCTCATTATGTAGTTCAGGCTGGCCTTGAGCTCACTTTGTATCCCAGGCTAGTCTTGTACTCACAACAATCCTCCTGCCTCACCCTCCCTGAGTGCTGGGACTACAGGCATGTGCCACCACACCTGGCTAACACCAAATAAGATTAAATACAAACATTGGATTTTGATATGCTGCCAATATTTGCCCACTGAACTACCTGTTGTTGTCTCACTAAAAATCGAGGCTTCCTTCAGAAGTTAGGTAGAAGCACAGTGCACTGCTGCATCATTTAGTCTCCCACTGTGCTGGTGTGCATCAAACATACCCTATCACGACACAGAAGGCCTGAGCCCTATACTCACAAGAATCCTCACATAGGCACTCCTGTTAGCACAAACCTCTGCAGACCCCCATGGCTACCAGCTGCTGCAGATTACCTTGGCAAAAACAAAAAACAAAAAACAAAGCACAGTCTACCTACTGTGCTTCGACTTTTAGCTCCTGAAATGATCTGTAGACTCCCAAAGCTATGTATTTCCAGCCACTTTTGAGTTGCATGCTGTAGCAAAACAGTCAGCACCTCTCAGTAGATATTGCTGCAGAGAAAGATCTTAATTCAGCAGGGCTCTTTCTATATGAAAAGCAACCCACTTCCCTAACCCGGGCAGCCTGCAGAGCCAGCCAGCCGGCCAGAGTCAGCCAGCTCCTGTTCACCGGGCACTCCCTGGGGGACGGGGGCTGTTTTTTCTTGAGTGGAGGTCAAGAAATAACTCTTTTAAAAAATGCCAATCATTGTAGAAGTTTCTTTTAAAACTTTAAATTTCATTCCCAAATGATCAGGTAGCAGAAACAAGACCCTGCGCTATCTTGTGAGTCCTACATCTATCTAACACAATGTAGGCCATGAACCTCTACCACTGGCCCACACCTAAGCTACCACATCACAGAGGGCCATACATTTGTGTGTTTCAGCAGTAATTTGATTACAATTAACATGTCACACATCTGTGAACATGTTTATTAAAAAACTAAATATCTAATCTGAGTATTATACCATCCGCTATCTTAAACTGAGAAGACAGCAGTGCTTAATATGCAACCGGCCCAAAGAGACTGCTCAACTAGACTGTCTTCTGACGATGTACCGCCTAAAACACAAAACAGAGAAAGTGCTGGACAACAGGGGTAAAGATAGCATTAGCCTCACAGAAAGGAATTTTGGAAAAAACTTAATGTGCTCCTAGAAGGCAGCTTAAAAAATATTAAATATCACCTACTGCCTTTTAAAAACCTTGTTGAATATAGTAGTAGTAATATATTGCAAACCCAGACTAATTAAACTTCCTGCTGCCATCTGGGCAAAGCACTCACAGAGCTATAGCGCATGTAAGAACAGTGAACAACCACAAGTCTCTCAGGAGAGGGCTCTGGGGCCCTGCTGCTGGCTGGCTGTTCCTCAACTTTGATCCAAAGAAACAAAATTAAATAAAATGTAATTATTTTCATGTACAGGATACTGGTTTTAGCTACCAACTTCACTGTAAAGATCTGCCTCGTAATGATCCCTCAGAGGATAAGGGCAAAGTTCAGACCTGAGTGAGTCAGCTGGGTGGGTGGGCCTGGCCTTTCTTCTGCCCCAACCGTGCTTCTCCCTCTGCAGCATTATGCTTCTCCCTCTGCAGCATTATCGCATGCGTCATTATTAGGGCCATGCCTGAGTCTAGCATCATGCCAGCACATTGACAGAAGGTACTATATGCAGTGTTCACTGGACCAGAAGGACAGAAACAAGAAGGGGAGGTGGGGAGAAAAGAAACCCTAGAAGAAATTTGAAAAAGGCAGACCGTGCAATACAAACCAGATCATGGCTGCTTAGCTAATATGGGCCAACTGCTGTGGAAGAAAAATGTCGAACACCCCAAGTTGTGTAAATTTCTGTAAACATCTAAACATACACACAAACACACATAACACCAACCTAATTAGGAACATAAATATATGCTGAGCCTTTATTATGTCTAAGTTTAAAAATAAAACTAAAAGTTCAAATCTAACTTGCCTCATTACTGTCCTTCAGGAAAGATGCTGTATTTCTTAAAGGGAAAGACGGACTTGTTTTGACTAAGATTTCCTCTGAGTTTTATTCCCCATTTGAGTTTTACCCACAACTCAATGAAACCCTTATTAAGTAGGGTACACTTAAACACAAATATTAAATACTGATGGTGACAAGTGTAGACATTTTAACAAAGAGCTATGTTAATTAAAAACAATAGGTTTTAGAGGGGCCAGGGATATAGCTCAGTGGCACAGTGCCTGGCTGGCAAGCGCAAGCTCCTGAGTTCAATTCCCAGTACCAAAAACAAACAAACAGGTTTTCAGAATAAAAATAATATTCAAAAATTTAAAAGTTCATAAAATTAAGAGGCAGGAAAAATAAATTTCCTTGTTTTGTTGCTTGCTATCATTAACAACTCTAACTAACCAGTGTAAAGAAAGAAATAGCCAGGCATGGCAGCATACACCTGTACTCAGCCCTCTCTGAGCCTGATGCAGGAGGACTTCACACTAGAGTCCAGCCTGAGCAACTTAGTAATTTAACAAAACCCAGCCTCAAAAAAAAAAAAGGCTGAGGGAGTAACTCAGTGCAAAGGTCTTGAGGTTCAATTTCCAGTATTAGAAAATCAACTTGTGACAAAAGTCCCAAACATTTTTCAAGCTACTGCAACCAAGTTTAACAAGGTTTGGTGAAAAAAAAAAAAAAAAAATCATCACTGCAGTGCTCAACTGTTATTAACAGATACTTCACATGACCATGTTGCCTAGGAAAGATATTAAAAGGCCAAAACACATATCCTCCTTTATTTAATTCATAAAAATATGAAGCTTTTTTTTTTTTTTTTAATTTTTGAGACAGGGTCTCGTTATGCAGTTCAGGCTGGCCTTGAGCTCACTTTGTAGCCCAAGCTTGTTTCAAATCTGCAGTAATCCTCCTGCTCCAGCCTCCCAAGTGCTATCTGAGCTACCACGCCTGGCAAAAACACTAAATTTTAACTGCTATCTTTATCAGAATATCAGTATGGGCCAAAATATTTTTCATCAAAACCCTAGTTTACTTCTGTTTGGGGCTTATTTCCCCATGTATTAAACACTAGGTTCTACCCTGCATGCTAACTGAGGACTGCATGTCACACCGTGAGAACAGCCCTGAGCTGCGCTTTCAGTTGGTGACAGCTGATCCCACTCACATTAGGGGCACGAAAGCACTCCCTGCCTGACCGCCACAGCCCTCAGGTGCCTCGGGAGCTTACCGATTCTATAGGCTTGTCGAGAGATGCTTGCTCAATTTCCAGGTGTCCTTCTTCATACTGATCGAAGTGATTACCCTGAAAAAGGAAAGCTCCAGTTATTGTTCATAAGGAGTAGGTGTTATCAACAGCTTAAACTAGTAGAAGGGTTATTTTTAACTTTATAGTCCTTTCCAGCAGAGCCAAAATCACACCAATTCAGACAAAACAAATGTAGCCAGACATAGTGTTGCACACTTCATATTCTAGTCAGCTGGGAAGCTGAGGCAGGAAAATGGAAAGTTTGAGCCCAGGTTGGGCAACTTAGCAGCTTAACAAGATCCTGTCTCAAAATGTAACATAAAAAAGAAGGGCTGGGGATTTAGCTCAGTGGCATAAGCAACTGCCTGGCAAGCACAAGGTTGTGAGTTCCATCCCTGGTATAAAATAAAATAAAATATTAAAAAAATTAATAAGAGCTGGGAATGAAGCTCAGTGACAGGCCCCGAGTTCAATTCCCAGCACTGTATCTTTGAAATAAATCAAAGTGAAAATAAGGAAGCAGAGTCGAACTCAGCAGTGTAGTACTTGCCCTCCTTTCCCTCACCGTGGGGGTGGGGGTGGGGGTGGGGGTGGGGGAGGGGGAGGGGGTGGGGGTGGGTGGTAAAAATTATAAGCTTCCTAAGCTAAAAATTTGAACCCTTTCCTGACAAGCACTGAAATTATTAATTAAAACACTGTCAACCATTTGGGATATCAACTTTTTCTCAAACAACACTAGGGGAAAATCTTAACAAAGAACCCCAGGATGGAATATACATCTGTTAACACTAGCTACTCAGGAGACTGACACAGGAGGATCTCAAGTTTCAAGGCAACCAGGGAAACTTCACAAGACCTGGTCACAAAATAAAAAGGGCAAGAACTATAGCTCAGCAGTCCGCTGGCTTGGGTTTGAGCCTGAGTACTGCAATAACTAGACAAGGCTGGGAATGTGAAGCCATGAGTCAGCACCCAGTACTGTGGACATACAGAGAGCATGCTCTGGCCATGGCCAGGTGATTTTTCTTTCACAAACAATACTACATTTTTACTATTAAAGAAAATGTCAGAATAATGCAAATAAAAACTCTATCAATACAGTACTGATCTCTGCTGGTAATATTACTTTTAACTAATTAAAAGCACTGAACTTTAAAATCAAGTGCTACGTCACAAGTTTTCAAGGAATTCAAATGTACAATCTTCCACATGCCTGTAATTACATCTACCTGGGAGGCTAGAGTAGAAGAAAGGAAAGTTTGAAGCCAGCACCCAGTTAGGGGGTACATATCACTATGTATCACTATGGGGTACATATCACTCCAAAAGAATTAAAGCCATCCTATCACAGAGATGCAGGCACACCCGTGTTTATAGGAGCACAACTCACAAAAACTAAATTTTGGAATCAGCCTTTATGTCTGTCAATAGATAAATAAATAAAAGGAATGGGATACTTACAATGGAGTACTACTCTACCATACAGAAGGATAAGTAAATGAAGTATCTGATGCACTCTGAGGCCATATTGTTCAGTGAAATAAGTCAGACACACATGCTTAAATAAATATCATATAATTTCTCTTACATGAGAAAACCAAAGTACAAATAATTTAAAGGGCAAAATAAAAGATAATGGGAAATGGGAAGACAGATCTTTTGCAAATGGGAAGGGTCCAAAAAATGGAGATGGGGGGAGAAATAAAATGAATTAACATGTGTTATATACAGGTACAATGGCCCGAAAGAAATATAATCATTATGTACAGCAAATATGTACTAATAAAAGATTAAGACTTTGGGGGCTGGGGATTCAGCTCAGCGGCATAAGCACCTGCCTTGCAAGGGTTTAATCCCTGGCACCTCCCCCCCCCCCAAAAAGGTAAAATTTCTGAAAGTACTTTACCAAGCTAAAAAAAGACCTCTACTCATTAAAAAAAATTTAAAGGTCAAACATAAGACACATACGGAAACTTCTGTAACACAAATTTATCTGTGATCACTTAAATACAAGGAGATGGGGTCTGCTCTAAATTTATCTATAAAAGGAATCCTGCTACTTGCTAACTCGTGTTTATTTTGGAGTCCACATAATCCTACAGCTGTAGCCTTTTGGTAAATAACTATTTGGTAATTAGTGGGAGAAATTAGAGCTGAAAGGGGGGGCATTATTCAATGATAAAAATGATAACCACTGGTCCATAATTTCAAATAGCAAAACACAATATTGGCATTCTTCAAGAGCTTGTCTTAAGGCCGGGGATTTACCTCAGCGGCATAAATGTCTACCTCGCAAGTTTGAGGTCGTGAGTTCATGCCCAGTTCCAAAAACAAAACAAAACAAAAAACAACTTGTCTTAGCCGGGCTCAGGTGGCTCACGCCTATAATCCCAGCACTCTGGAGGCTGAGGTGGGAAGATCATTGTGAGTTCGAGACCAGCCTGGGCTACGAAGTGAGCTCAAGACCAGCCTGAACTGCATAGCGAGACCCCCCCTCTCATAAAAGACAAAAAAAAACAAAAAAAAACAAACAAACAAAAAAAAAACTTGTCTTACCTCTGTCTTTTTCTGTAACTATTAAAATCTAGTATCTTTTTTTTTTTAATGTAATGAAGCCAGGTCTGGTGGTTCACATCTGTAATCCCAGCACCCTGGGAGGCTAAGGCAGGAAGATCACAAATTCAAGTCCAGTCAGGCAATTTAGTAACTAACAATCTTGTTTCAAAATAAAACTAAAATAAAAAAATAAAGTTAAAAAGTACTAGGATCCAAAAAAAAAAAGGTGGGGGGCTGGGATGTAGCTCAGCTGTTAAGGTCTGGTGCAATCTCCAGTACTGAGGAAAAAGGAAAAACATCACGCTTTTAAGACCAAATTTTTGTCCCATCTCTACCTGCTTTCCAATTACTCAGAACAGATCATGGGCCTCTTAATGTAGAGGTGGCCACTTCATTGCTCTCCTGCCTTCGAAGAAAGATTGCCCTCTGCCCTGTGAAAGGCAGTCTGAAGCTGTGGCTGGGAAAGCACCATTTGGCTGTGCTTCCTGCCAGGTGATGCTGGAGGAATCCAGACCACGACTGCACAGTGCAGCCTAATCCATACGTCCTCTGAACCTGGCTTCTCTTGGGGATAGGATCGGACACCCTGGGTCTCCTGGGTCTGAGGGCTGACAGGTGCCCCCCAGCGCTCCCTCCCCACCCACCAATTCTGAGGCAAGGCGGCCCTGTAGCTCCCCAGCTTCACACAGGTTCATCCACCTGTGCTGCCGTCTCTTTGAGGCCAGTGGACAGAAAGAGAAATTGACAAATTAACTGTTCTGCTAATCCTGAGAAGCATCTTTTTGAAATGAAAAGCAATTCCCTCCACAAAACAAAAGGAGAAGAAAAACACCACTCCTAACTAGAGTCTGGGGACCCAGAGTTTCTGGTGGACAGTCACTCGTGAACCCACAGACTGTACAGCGCAGTCTTCATTCAATACTTCCAGCTGCTCTCACCTTGCAGGTCTGAGCAGAGCTGAAAGCGGTCTCCTCCATGGCAGCAACCGCATCGCTGTCAGCTACTCCTTTCGGCCTGACCTGGCTAGCACACCCCAGCAGCGGTGCTGCTGTCCCTGCTGCTCCCAATGTCCCCCAAGGACAATCGGGCTGTGGCATTGTAGAGACCGTCAGTAGTTCCTTAGAGTCTGATGTCACTGATAAGATGTAACACTTGGGAGTGCTACCTCACAGTTCAAGCAATATACTGTGCATACCTGGCCTTTCTCAATTCAAAGTATAGAATGATGCTGATTTCACCTGCCATTGACAAAAATGCTAGGTTTAGCAGAAAGAATCACTTAAGAGAGCTCCACATTCCAACTAGGAGCACAACCAATCCTGTCACCGAAAAAGTAACTCAAGTCCTCTATCTCCCTCCCCTACATATTTGGAAGAGACGATTTGTTTATTTATTTATTGGTTTTGTGGGGGCAGGGTATGGGCCAGTTGCAGCAGACTAACCTTGAACTTGCTTACGTGGCCCAGGCTAGCCTCAAACTCTTGGCAATCCTCATGCTTCAGGCTACCCAGTGCTGGGATTACAGGCATGTGCCACCATACCCAGTAGAAACAGTTTTAGAGTCTGCTCCAACAATGCCATTTAAAAAAAACTGGCTCAGGGGGCTGGGGATTTAACTCAGCTGCATAAGCACCTGTCTTGCAAGCAGGCAGTCATGAGTTCGATCCCTGGTACTGATAAAAAAAAAAAAAGACTGGCTCAGAAAGAAGCCTGCCTATGAAGAGCTGGGCATTCTGAGGACTGCTGGTGTCATCCCATTAGCTCACTCGGAAGTCACTGCAACTTAGAAGGCAAAAACAGCACTGGAGTTGAGTCCTCACAAACCTTCCAGAACTACACTGGGGTTTATAAGGCCACACAGGGTTGTTTTCATGGTGCAGGGATCAAGCCCAGGGTCATATACACCTTAGGCAAGGACTCTTAACACTGAGCTGTGTCTTATGTACAATTTGGAAACCAGAGCTCTGCAAAATACCACATCTTATTCTACCACTTGCTAGCTGAACAACTTTGAGCAAATGGCCAAACCTTCCCCTAGGCCTGCTTCCCGTCATACCCTGATGAGTAGGCTGTCTAGAGTGTGCTCACACAAGCTGCAAAGGGTAAGGGGAACCAAGGAATAAATTTCACTTAGTAAATAAATTTAACCCTATGTAAGCTGACAGGAAAGATGATTGGCTAGAAATCACAGAAAGTAACTAAGAAGGGGAAAACACATTACACTGGATTAAGGGTATGAGCATATCACACACTTGTCTAAAAATACATGTGTACCCATTTGCCAGATCAAATTTCCTAGATCATTTGATTAAGAAAAGGACAGATTTCCCAAAACAGCATTAAACTGAAAAACTGATCTTGTAAAACTCCACAGGCCAGAAATTAATACAAAATACAGCAGACACCGCCTGATACATTCAAAAAGGTACAGAGAGAACACTCCAAAAATCCCTTTAGAGCCCACATTAATGGTGTGCTAGTTCTTTACCACTGACTGGCCT